TAGGGCACTCAAGTTAAAAGAAGTGCCTGGGAGAAAATGGCACATTTGGGTGATGGTCTCCCTGGCTGTTTACTGTACGCTGAGTCTCTGAGTAGACTGCTCACTGCCTGGTAGTCACCTCCTTTCTGAATTCTGGAAAATATTGCTTTGTGGGTGAAAATGGGTCACGATTCTGAACTTTGCTACCACCCCCCAACACACACATACACACACACACAGTATTTTAAGAAAAAGAAAGAAAGAAACAAAAAAGAAATTAAGGCTGAAAAAGTCACAAAATAGGTCAGATATTTTCCTCTGTTCATTCTTGCGTTACTTGCTGCTGGTTTTAAAGGGCAGAATTGTTGAGACTCTTCCACATTTTCTTGGGGGACTTCAAACTTGGAGACATTGCAGGGACACAAAAACCAAGAGGATTTTGCTATGGTTACATAGAGAGTAAATTGTTACAAGTTCAGAGCTGTGAAATATCAATTTGGAGAGGGTACCTACCTCTTCCCAGGACACTCACAGATGAGACCACATTTTTGCCACATCCCCTCTGGGCACAGCTGACTGCTCAGTTGGTTCCCGGAGCTACTTGTTAGCTGAATCACTGAGAGGAGGGTTGGCCTCTATGTGTTCATTGTGAATGTGTATGGTTCTGACACTGTGATTCCCCACACCCTTGTGAGTCAGGATTAACAGAAAGCAGACTCTCTTCTACTCCTCTATAAAAGGTCAGTTTAAAGAGAAAAATGATGATGTCTTTGGAGATTATGGTCAGGAAAAGGAGCTAGCAATAAAAGCAAGAAGGCAAGAGTTCTGAAGCAAGAACTCTCAAGAGGTATCTTACAGGTTAAATAGATCACAAGGCTGGAGTTCAGATGTTATCAAGCCACAAGAATGTGAGGTAGAGGTTATGAGTAGGCTGAGATTAAAGCAGGCATTTCTGATCAATGTTTTCTATTAGTTTTAAGCCACTGTAAAAGCAGAGAAGTGGGGCTGTGACAAGCCCCCTGGTGAATGAAGAAAGCGAGCCTTGGAGGGGCTCAGTAAAGGATATTTAGCAAGCAAATGACAGAGCCTAGACTCACACCCAGGCTTGTCTCACTCCAAAGGCTGTTTGCACCATGTGCTTTATAGCGCTTGGACCTCCACTTTGGAGGGGGAATTTGTTTTATTCTTGGATGATATTGAATACTTTCCATTCATTAGCATCAGTGGATTTCAAGTGCTATTAGGTAAAGTACCTCTTACTATACGCTCAGTTCAAAATTTCTAATTATTTTAGTAAGACCACAGTAGACCACAAATAGAAAGCGATACTTGCCGTTCATTTTTTCCTGTTTTAGATTCTACTGGCCCACTTTATTTCTGATTAGAGTGAGGTGACATGGTGATTTTTTTGTTTTATTTTGTTTGTTTGCATTGTTGATCTACAGCCATGGTTTTCAAACTTTATTGGTCTTAGAACCCCGTTATATTCTACATTACTAAGGGCACTAAAAAGCTTTGTTTAAGTGAGTTGTATCTATTTGTATTTCCTGTACTAAAAATCAAAACAGACTTTTATAAGAGTATACAAGTAAGCATTCCATTAACTCTTGTATCCTCTGAAAATCTCCACTATGCAATTGTGAAAGACTGATATTTAAAAAATTAAATAATGTTTTAGTAATATATTGTGAAAGTAATATCGACCTCACAGACTCCCTGACGGGGTTGTGGGGAACCTGGGCCACATTTCGAGAGCCACTGATACAGGAAAAATACCTGTTTTTGTTGATGTTGGCAATTGTTTATAATGCAACTGTTAAGTCCCAGGACTAGGGGCTAAAAAACAAGGGAATTAAGACAGGACCATCAGGTAATAAATGATTCAGAAAATAAGTTGACTGACCAGTCTGTGAACTTCTTTCGTCTTAGATTTAAATGGAGTTAGCATTTATTTCTGAATTATTAGTATGTTCATATGTGGGAGTGAATAGCAATTGTTTTTATCTATAGTAATTTAATAAATGCTGATGTTTAAGATATGTTTAAGCATTTCGTACAGATAGAAGTTTATTACAGAGATGTTTGTTTCATTGTTTCTACTCACACTTAACCATTGTTTTTCGGTCACCCAGCCCTGACTCCACCTTTTCTCTCTTGGCATATCCCGCTGCCGCCTGAAGGAGGCTGAAGTGCTGGATACTTACATCTTTGCAGCTAGGCTGCAGGCGTGTGACCCAAACTCTGCCAGTTAGACACCTGCATCTCATGCTTTGAAATAGAAACTAGGGACATATAGAAGTACATGGTGGCTGTACATTGTTCACAGGGCAGCAGCTAGTTGCTGGAATTGCTGGTGTTGGTAGAAGAAGCTGTAGAATTCCCTGCTCATCAGGTGACAGAGAGAGCAGGGGTGTTTTCACCAGGCCAGTGCTGCTGTGTGGTTTGGGGCAGTGTTCTTGGATGTGTAGCTTCTGAACCTGATTTCTCTGGCCTGCCTAGAAATTTGTGGGTTTTTTTTTTCATTATCCTTCTATGAGTTCAAGAGTCAGAGCTTTGCCTGCAGCTAAGAATACTACTTAATTTATTCTGAAATACAGTGTCTCTCAAAGTATTGTTTGGCAACCTCATGTAGATGGAATCACCTGGGCCGTATCTGACAATACCTACTTGTAGAATTAGAACCGATGGATTCAAAATCCTTAGGGTGGATCTTAGGAGACAGCATTTTAAACAGATCTCAGGTTTATGTGATTTTAGATGCAGTGAAATTTAAAAACCGCTACCTAATGTTTATAACTTTTTAAATGCCATGTTCATCTTTTTATGGATATGAGCAATCATCAAAAGATAGAATTCTACTCTTTTTTTTTTTTTTTTTCCGAGATGGAGTCTCACTCTGTTGCCCAGGCTGGAATGCAGTGGCATGATCTCAGCTCTCTGCAGCCTCCACCTCCTGGGTTCAAGTGATTCTCCTGCCTCAGCCTCCCTAGTAGCTGGGATTACAGACATGCACTACCACACCCGGCTAATTTTTCTATTTTCAGCAGAGACAGGGTTTTGCCATGTTGGCCAGGCTGGTCTTGAACTCCTGACCTCAGGTGATCTGCCCTCCTTGGCCTCCCAAAGTGCTGGGATTATAGGCGTGAACCACCAAACCCGGCCAATTCTACTCTTTTATAAGACCCTAATAAATTACTTACTAGTGTTTCCTTTTTCCTCTCCTTCCCCTGCTTCACATTCCCCATAAGCCTTTGCTCTGTCTTTTTAACTCTTTTAATGTCTTTTTTCCCGGAATTATTTTTTCTCACCGAGAAGTTTTAATTCCTCAGTTGAGATTGCCTACATGCAGTGGTGCCAGAATTGTTAACTCGGCTTCTAAACAATACTGAGATGGAGCATGTTTTTTCTTTCTTGGGCATTTTTGTGACCTGCAGACGTAGAGCTCAATGTTTACCCTAGGGATTACTGGAGACAGTGGAGGGGAAAGACTGGGATATAAGAGTAATTTTTCTTGAAGGGTTCCTTCACCACACCGTGGATTTAGGCCGGAAAATAGCACTGGAGGTGTCGATTGATCTACTTCTGAGATTTCTAGAATCACTGATTGTTATAACTGATAAGAATCTGTCTTAACCCCTTGTTTCCTAAATGAGGAACTGAGGAGAAGATCCACATCCAAAGCCATCTAAGTGATGAGTGGGGTATAAAGGACAAAATAAATTTAGAAATGGAAAGTGGCGATGCAGAGCTTGACCTACACTAGCATAAAATGGAAGGGAATTTCTAATATTTATTGAACTACTATTTGAACTTGGGTACATTCACTTGACTTCTTTGAGCCTCAGTTGTCTAAACTGCAAAATAAAGATTCTAATAATAGCCAACATTGATAAAATATTGACTATATGCTAGGGGCTATTGATATTTTAAGGACTTTATGTGCTAATTCATTTAATCCTAGCACAACCACGTGACACAGGAACCTCTGTTTCTCCCGTTTTGTAGATGCACAGAAAGGCTACATAACTTCCCTGCAGTCACACAGCTAAGCATATTTGTTTTCTGTTGCTGCTTTTCAAATTTTTATGAAATTAATAGCTTAAATATACATTTATTATCTTGCTGCTTTTCAGGTCAGGAGTCTAGGCACAGCTTATCTAGGTCCCCTGCTCATGATCTCAAAAGGCAGCAATTGAGTTGTTGACATGGGCTAGGGTCTTATCAGAGGCTTGGAGTCATCTTCCAAGCTTGTGTGGTCATTAGCAGAATTAATATCCTTGCAGCTTTGGAACTTGGGGTGGCTGAGTCTTTAAGGCCAGCAAGAGAGAATCTACTTCTTTTAAAGGTCTTGCCAGATTAGATCCAGACCACTCAGGATGATTTTTCTTTTGATTAACTTAACATCAACTATTAGGGGGATTCATATATCTGTAATATCTTTTCATGTTTGCCGTATGTTTCAACATAATCACAGGAATAATATTCTATGACCTTTGCTATCTTCTATTGGTTAGAAGACAATTACAGTTCTTAACCACACTCAAGTGGAGAGGATTACATAAACCTACAGATATCAAGGGGCAGGAATCACAGAGCTATGTTAGAATTCTGCCTGTCATAGTTCTAAGGTTGAGTTTAAATCCAGACTGGCTATAGGTTTAGAGCTAGTCCATGCTCCTAACAAATATGATCTTCTTTCTTCCTTTGAAGAAAATGAACCTACTTTATAACCCTGCATAGAGTTCTGAGTAAGGTAGCCCCAAGCAGATTCATACTGGGTGCCAGTCAAATGTGTATTAGTTTCATACCTTCACTTTTAAAGGTCAGCTTCAAGAAACCATAACCACTTGTAGTTTTGTATTTTCAGGAAGAGATTTCCAACAGTCTCTCTAAAAACTCAGATTATATAAGTGATTTCAATTTGTTCATGTTTTTCTGAGGCAGAGATAACCCTGGGGTTTGGGATTTCAAACTTGGCTCTCAAAAAATAACTTTAGCTCTGCTTCTTGTTTTTGAAACAGATGAAGTGATTGAGAAGAAACAGTGAACATTCTCCTTTTACAGATAAGACAACATGGATCAGCCTTTTACTGTGAATTCTCTGGTAGGTCACACCAGCTGATATTTAACATTTAGTTGAAAAGTCTGAAAAGAAGAACAGAAACATACAAATGTGAAATGAGTCACAATTACTTTAAGAAGTTTAGCACTTGTAGTTTTTCATCCATCTGTGTGGTTGTCTCCTTTGAGGAAGTGACTAATAAAGCTATCTTTGTAAGACTTAAAAATAAATTTTATTTCCTACAAAACTCTGAAATTTTAGTATCTGGATAGATTCCAGGAGTGTAGTCCTTTGGCAAAACCCTGGAGAGAAGAATTTCAGAGTTGATATCCAAGGAGCTACTTAAAGCTCTTAGTGCCTCAGCTTCTTTATAGATAAAAACTGGAGACTCACTTTGTCTGGTGACAACTGACAAAAACATCCGTAACACCCAGGTATTGCTTTGGAGCCTCGTGTAAATGTCTTTGTACTTGAAGCTCTTGTGCTTCTCACTTTTCCCCTCACTGCCCAGCACTGTGCACACTTTCTCTAGCTGTATCACATGGGTTTATCCTGTGTCCTAGATCAGTCTGAGTGTGAATATAGACACGTTATGTAATCTCCATGGCCCTGATTTCGTACTTTGTGCCCAGTGACAACTGGAAACAATATTTTTGATGCTTCTAGCCTATCATGATGGTACGATAAACAGAAACCGTCATTTCCGTTTTCCTCCTCCTGATGACCCTCCCCAAACACTCATGGCGACCTTGTAGGAGTTGGCCTATGAGCTGCAGTGTATACTCTGTCTGCACAAAACTGAGCACCAGGACATAAGGAAAGAGAGGTCCTGGTTCTTGTACTGAAATAGATTGTGACCTCATGTTTTTTCTTGACCAAGAAAGTCATTCACAGAGCTTAGCTGTTTTCAGAGTATGTTTGGAAAGTGGACAATTGCAGAAGCGTTTTTACTTTCGGTCCCCATGTTGTTCCGCTACGGTTGGTAAAGGCTGACCCATTTCCACCTCTGCAGAGCGAAGAGTCATCCTTATGAGATGTCTTCTGTGTCTTTCTAGAACATTATATAACAATAATTAAAATTTTATATATGTCACTGTAAAAATGAACACAAAGGCTTTTTATATGGAAAATGTGTGTTTTCATCCAAGAAGCTTGCATGTAAATGAAATATTATAGATTGATGAAGACTTTAGGTTATTTTCCAGCTTATCTTTGAAATCAATTTTAAATTTGGGAAAGATAGGACCATTCAGAAGAAGAAAATCAATCTAATTTTAATTTTTAGGAAAAAAACGAATTATAGTCTCTTGTTGCTTCCTTTTTTTATCTTTCTCACTCCTTTCTCTCTTTTATTTGAGATACTCATTAATTATCACCTATGTGGTAGCGAATATGCTACCTTCTAGGAAACAGAGATAAATGAGAAATGATCCCTTTTAAAATCCCAAGGAGTTTATAAGGGATTGGACCTACTTGTACAGAAATCATGATAACTCAGTGTGGACTATATAGTAGTAAAATATGAACACATTACTTTTATACATGTGAAAGGATGGAACCCCCTTTAGAAAATGTTCTGATTTTCATAGATATTTTTCTAGTCATTTTCTGATGTCATTGAAGCAATTATCTGTGGTCAAATAACAATATTTTCATTTGGTGTTGTTGAGTTCTACAGATGAGTGTGGTTAGGGAAAAGTGGATGGATTGCTGTAGGATTTGAGACATCTCAGTTGGAAAAGACTATATACTGAAGCCTGAGGCTCAAAGTTCAAAAAATCCAATTTCTGTCTCTGAAGTGGGGAAGCCACATCATAAAACATACAAGGGACATGGCATGCTTCTTACTTAATGGAGCCTTGAGAAACAAGTTTATGGTTCTCTGGTTACATATTAAACCTTTAGGACCAAGAATCGTTTCAGATCTCTGGGGTTCTATTGTCTATAAAAATACCAACAAAGTAGACCAGGTGGCACTGGAAGAACTCCAGATACCTAATTCACTATACCTTGCCCTTGAAGGTTGGCTCAGTAATCCATGGCCAGACTAAAAGTATGCCTACCTTGACTCTTTTGTAGCTTTTTACAGACCTGAATTAGGTGCTCCACCCACACAGTAGTCAGACTTGCAGCCTACCCTTAACTGACCAAGACCTTGAGAAGCTACATTTGCTCTAGGCTGACTCTATTCTGGAAGCATCCAGCAATGGTAGAAGTGGTTGATCTAAAGCAGTGCTTCTCAAGCAGTGCATGCCTAAGTACCTCTGGAAAGATGGATTAAAACATTGATTCTCCAGCCTAACTCCAGAGATTCTGACTGTAGGTCTGAGGAGAGACCTATTGGAATTGGCATTTTTAAGAAACTCCCAGTTGATGCTGATGCTGCCAGTCCATGGACCATGCTTTGAAAAATGCTGATCTAAAGCAGGGGTCAGCAAACTGTCATCTAACGGCCAAACCACCTGCTTGTTTATATAAATAAAAATTTGGGGGACACAGCCAGAGTCATTTTTTCCCATATTATTTATGGTGGCTTTCATGCTGAGAGCTGAATTCAAGTTGCAATGGAAACCATATGGCTGGCAAAGCCTAAGATACTGGCTGTCTGATACTTAACAGAGAAAATTTCCTTTCTGAAGTGCTGACTTTTTATTGAATAATTATTCTGAATTATGTATGTTCTATGCTTTACCAAATGTGTATAGATGCTGTTTTTATTAATAAAATTTAAATTACTATCAGTGACATTTCTTAGTAACATAGCATTATTTTCTTAGTCAAGGACTAATTTAGCAGTGTAATTACTATTATGTGGAAGTCTGAGAGTCTTTTTATGTTTAAAAAAAATGGGAGGGGTGGCTGGGTATGTGGCTCACACCTGCAATCCCAGCACTTTGGGAGGCCAAGGCGGATGGATCACCTGAGGTTGGGAGTTTGAGACTAGCCTGACCAACATGGAGAAACTCCATCTCTATTAAAGATACAAAATTAGCCGGGCATGGTGTCACATGCCTGTAATCTCAGCTACTTGGGAGGCTGAGGCAGGAGAATCACTTGAACCCAGGAGGCAGAGGTGAGCCAAGATTGCACCATTGCACTCTAGCCTGGGAAAAAAGAGTAAAACTCCATCTTAAAAAAAAAAAAAAAGAAAAAAAAAAAGGAGAGGGATTCTTATGCTTGAAAAGGCTTCTCCAGGATTTATTTGTGGGTTTTTTTTTTTTTTACTTAATGAAGATGCAGCGAAGCCCTAAAAAATTCTTACTAAACAACACTTATTCTGGAATATAACTGAATCTTCGTAGTAACTTGAATCCAAGTTACCTCCTTGGAGACCCTGACATAAACTCTACCATGGCAGGAATTTGTTTCATGACCTGCTTCACATGATCCCAGATAGAAACATGCACAGGAATATGAAGAGCAATGGTATTTTACCTAAAATGACCTGAAACATTTGCATACCCTGGAACTTCCACATAATTGTACCCTGAAACCTAAGGTGGGAATCCCACTCCAGTAGCACTGTGTGTTTACCCTGGATGTTTGTCTTTTTGTTGTACAGATCATGTGTTTAAGCAAAGATACTTTACTTTGATCATATCATCAACTCTTATGAAAAGATTTCCTTAGGTAATGGTGTTAGGTTCCTCATAAAGAAAATACATCCATAATATTAGTCATATCCTTTTCTTGCTATAATCAGCGATTAATCAGAGATTTAAATTTTACTTTACAGAGAAAGTTAGCTGCTATGCCTGACCATACGGATGTTTCCCTGAGCCCAGAAGAGCGAGTCCGTGCCCTAAGCAAGCTTGGTTGTAATATCACCATCAGTGAAGACATCACTCCACGACGCTACTTTAGGTCTGGAGTAGAGATGGAGAGAATGGCGTCTGTGTATTTGGAAGAAGGAAATTTGGAAAATGCCTTTGTTCTTTATAATAAATTTATAACGTAAGTGTTTTAAAGGCCTCTGAAGTGAGAAAATTGGAAAAAATATTTACATACTTTGATGTGGCAGTTTGGGTATCAGTCATGTTTTCATATTTAGACCAATTGCACAGTCTCTAGGAACATTACATGTTCCGGTTTTTAAATTACCAAGTAATGTATTCACGGGCATCCCAACATCATCTCTGAGGCTTAGGGTCAGGGAGGGCATGAGGCTCAGGGTTATTAGATTTCCTCTCCAAGGCCAGTACAGTAATCGATTTAATACATGTTTCACTCTTCATAAATAACATTTCTTTTTTCATGCCATTTTCCCTGACAGAAATTGAAGCTTTATGAGAGCAAGAACTATAGTACAGCTCCATTTACAGCACCTGGAGCATACCATCAACATTTTAAAAGGTTGATTTGGTGGGTTGTGTCTAGGGAGCAAGTTGGGAGATACAGGAAAGATCTGATCTAGGTGCAGGAATAGGGTGCCATGGTCAGTTTCACATAGCATTTATTATTTCTTTTTTAAAAAACAAATATTTATTTGGCTCTGTAAGAACACCATGTACAAAAGAGCTTTCAAAATGTTGATTAAAAGTGGCTACATCAAAACAGCCATGTCAAAATATCATATTTCTTATTAGCTATTTGTTAGTGATGTATCCTAGTTGAAGAGTTAACAGAAATGGGATTTGGATTTTCCTTACTAATTTGATAACTTACTGGTTGAAAGGCTGTCCTGTTATCAATAATTGTATAATCTAAGCTGAACTCTCTATTTTTTAATTGGAAGTCACACATTGATTACTTTTGCCAGCGTATTCATTATTTATTAATTTTACTTAAATTGACAAATGAAAATTATATATATTTATGGTATGCAACATGTTTTGATACATGTATGCATATATTGTAGAATGACTAAATCAAGCCATTTAACGTATTTATTACCTTACAGACTTTTTTTGAGATAGGGTCTCACTCTTGCACAACCATAGCTCACTGCAGCCTTGACCTCCCAGGTTCAAATGATCCTCCCACCTCAGCTGGAACTATAGGCATGTGTCACTATGCTCAGCTAATTTTTTTATTTTTGAGCTGGATGCTATTCTTCAGGCTGAGGATACTTCGGTGCATAAAAAAGAGAATTCCCTGCCCTTGGGGTAGCAGTTTCTTCACTTTACCTGGAAGCAATGCACCTGATTTGCTGTAGGAATTTCCCTTCACTGCTGCTATCTTGTTCCCCAAAAGGTGATGAAAAATAATGAACTCCTAATTAGCCCCTCTTAGGGATTCTGGTTGTCATGTCTCTTAGTTATGGGTTTTCTGAGTTTTTTGATACATACACGATGGCACTGCTGATTCATCAGTGATCGTTTGAGTTTTTTCCAAGAATGAGAAGGGATTTACATGACTCTTTTCATGCTCTGATGTTTTTATGTGATCCTCTCTGTTGCTGGCAGTGCAAAAAAATAAGATGTCCTCTTATGGGGTTAAGCATGCAGGGCCTGAGAAAGATCAAAGTGACTTGATTTGTTTAGAGAGTACCCTGACCTTAACCTTGTTAACTTTGGTGCTTAGTTTGTTGAGTTTAACCCTTAATACCAAAATAATACTCATGCCAGCCTTTAGTGAAAAGGCAGATGGAAAGACTATAAGTCAATTAGTAAGTTATTAAACATGTCATTTTTGAAAAGGGATGCTCATTCCCATATTAGAAACCACTATTGAGCTTTTGCTGTTATATAATGCTAAGGACATGTTTTCTCTTTTCTTAGCTTGTTTGTGGAAAAGCTTCCTAACCATCGAGATTACCAGCAATGTGCAGTACCTGAAAAGCAGGATATTATGAAGGTATTGTGGGTTTGCTTCTCTACTGTGGGATCAAATGCTCTATAAGTATCCATTATTGATTCACTCTTCCACTTCCTCCCCTTTCTCTTTCTCTTGAGAGTTTGAGCACAAAAAATTGATTCCATTAGCAATGATGTTTCGATTTTTTTCTTAGACTTTTAATGATCATTACTGAGCCAGTGTGGTTCGTCTAATTGATGCTGGCAGAACAGAAAGAAAGAAAAATGCTACCTTATAGTGTGAACAATGAATTATTTTACAGTTCCTCCCAGAGATTAAGAGAATATTGTATATTTATTCAAATTTCTTCCAGACAGTCGTTTCGGCTGGTTTTAATTATTTTATACAGCCCTGAACTCAATAACTATTTGAAAATTAGGGTTAGTTATTAAGGCAGCCACAAAGTTCTAGCTATTCACATTTTAGAGAACTAGAATTATCAAGTGTGCTGGGGGAAGCAGGAGGTGATGGGATGAAATACTATCAAGGAAAAAGGGTGTTGTAATTTATCATCAATTTTTTAGTGATTTATTTATCACCAATAATTGCTATATCTGTAATTTTGGTTATGTCTAGCTGTGAACATATTCTTTTAAATAAACATTTACAATGTTTCCCACTTATTTGTCTTTAATAGTTTGTGTTGATCTTATATGATGGAAGTTAAAATCACGTATACAAAGCCAATCATATCATGAAATTTTAAATAATTTTTGAAAAACATTTTACCACATAATGAAATAAAAGCTTTCCTGCGAGTCTTTTCAGACCTGAGGATGCATAAGCAAAATGCAGATTTTGTCAAATGATGATCTACATTTTATTTATTTGTGAGTCAGAGTCTTGCTCTGTCACCTAGGCTGGAGTAAAGTGATGCTACCTCAGCTCACTCCAGCCTCTGCCTCCCAGGTTCAACTGATTCTCCTGCCTCAGCCTTCCCATTAGCTGGGATTATAGGAGCCTGCCACGCCCAGCTAATTTTTGTATTTTTAGTAGAAAATACTTGTTGGTCAGGCTGGTCTCGAGCTCCTGACCCCAAGTGATCCGTCCTCCTCCACCTCCCAAATTGTTAGGATTACAGGTGTAAGCCATCGCGTCCAGCCAACTTTTTTAAAGTTTACAGTCACTTACCTGAAGAATCAATTATTTTCATGTCTTTGTGTAGCATTTCCTCTCAATTATTTTGCTCATTCAACCTCAGAGAGTTCTGTTTGGAAACCAAAGGTGCCAGGCTGCCAAGGTGACCCATGTACTATAATTTAGGGTTATGCTTATATATTTTGTAGGAGAAAAAGTCTCCAAAAGCATATATGTTTCTCTTGTTTATGCTTATCAAATAAATATATAGACGAATAAATAAATGAATGAATGACAAAAGATTAAGAGATTAGAAACTTGGTGAAAGAATTAGAGTCAGGAGACTTGAGTTCCAGTCCTAAATGGGCCACTAGCTGGTTGCATAATGCCAAACCGGACTTTCAGTCTCTCCTGGCCTTTGTTTCCTTACCTCTAAAAAGGAAGACATAGTTACACTATATAAGAATTCCCAGCTTTTGCTGCCATTAAGAATCCCTAAGGAAGTTGTTTGAGATCCAGAATCCCAGACCCCCTCTCTAGAGGTGTTAATTCAGTAGATCTGGATTAGGCTTGGGAATCTGTATTTTTATAAAAAGTGCCCCAGCTGTTCTTTTTACAGTCTAGCATGTCTAGAAATCCCTATCCACCACATATTCTCTCACATCCCTTCTAATTCTGGTGCTACATGATTTATGTACTATAGAATCTGTGATTGATCTCAAAACCACTGCCTAAAAATGGGGTGCCACAAAGATAGCCACAAAGTTCTAGCTATTTAAATCTTATAGCATTGGGCTGTAGCAAAATGCTTACCTAATCAGTAGAGCCAATAAAGGTCTTACAAAAGGGATAATAGTTTCTTTCCTGCTGGAAAGTTATATTTTGGACCCATCAAGAGATTTATTTTTCTGCCATCATTGGTTACTCATGACTTTATTTGTAATACACCTATCAGCTGTTTTTCTTTCTCACCTGATGATCTGAAAGAATATATTGAAAATTCCACTAATCAATATATGTATATATTTTTAAAAGAAACTGAAGGAGATTGCATTCCCAAGGACAGATGAATTGAAAAACGACCTTTTAAAGAAATATAACATAGAATACCAAGAATATTTGCAAAGCAAAGTAAGTTCAGTTGATAAATTTATTTCATGACTATTTTATGTACAAGTATTTTTAGAATTTTATTTTTATGTGATGAGTTTTTCAAACGTTATGTGCATTTAAATTAAAAATTAAAGATGCAGTGATGTGAAACCAATGAAAAATTTATGCTGATATTCAGGTTAAGCAGTTACACCAACAATGTGGTATTTCTGTTTCCCTACAACATCCAATAAAGCAATGTGTTAAAAAGTAGATTTCCTACGGTGATTTAAGTAGAACTTTTTGATCAACATTTGATTTTATTTGCCAGTGTAACGGTGAGCCAAATGGTTGCTCTTTGCCAGATGAACAGCCAGTAGGAGGTAGGGAGAGCAGTATGTGGTTTTTGATGTGTCTAATTATGTAGGCCTTAGAAATGTGAATTTGATTCTTAAAATGTTACAGTCAATATTGAGTGAGATGGAATAGTAGCTAACCATGTGGTTGAAATGTAATTGTATCACCCAAAAGTGTTGGCTTCCGGATTGTTATTAATAAAGAATGAACATGACGATAATGTCTGAGAGGCAGAAAGGCATTGGAGGAAGAAATTGGCCAGTGTATAGGATACTCACATTCAACAAAGCATTATTATAAGTGCTATTTTGCTTTTTTGTTTGTGTTTTATTTGCTTTGGAGGTTACCACCTTCACTGACTCTCACTTCATTCAGTTCAATCTCATCAGCTCTGAAAATGGTCATTGAGCTTTTTGACTTTCTATAGGCATGACTGGAAGGCTGATTTGAGTGATGAGTCTTAACCGAGCGGTAGAGGGAATTTTGAAATTGAATGTCCCTCAAGTGATGTGAACTATGAAAGATAGAAATGATCTTGGAGGGTAAGACAAAGCAACAGCAAGGGAGATGAAAGCCCAGTTCAAGTCTCTTTTCCACAGTCAGCAATGTGTATGATCTTCCTCTTCAGGACCTTTCTGGAACAGGCTCTGTAGCTGTTCCATGTTCTGCCTTTGATACCTGTGACTTCGCAGGCGACGGTAGAATCTCGTGTAGAAATCTCTGTGGAGTTAGAATAAGCCTAGGAGAGATGCACAGAGATGCCTGTGAGCCCTTGCTTCAGCCAAAATTAGCATCATTTGGAAGCTTGTTAGACATGCAGAATTGCAGGCTCCACCCCAGACCTGCTGAATCAGGATTTGCAACTGCAATTAGACCCAGGATGATTCGTATGCACCTGAATGTGCCACTATAAGCTGTGTCCCCCATGCTAATGCCATCTTATGGTAGCTCCCAAATCTAGTTTCTATCAAAATCACCTGGAAGGCTCATTAACATTTCATATTATCTGACCTAATAAGCCTGGATATTTTGTTAGGACTGGAGAGCTTGGGACTCCTCATTTTTAATAAAACTCTTGATTAGTGGTGATAGAGAAGGTTGGAACACATTTTAATAATTGTTTTTTAGTGATTCCTTCTTATCCATAAATCTCCAGCAGAGTATGAGTTCTAGAGTCAAATGCAAAAGGTTCTAGGACAGCACTGTTAAATAGAACTCCCTGTGATGATGGAAGTGTTCTGTCTGACACTTTCCAATATGGTACCCACTAGCCACATGTGGCTACTGGATACTTAAATGTGATTAGTGTGCCTGAGGTACTAGATGTTGGTTAATTAATTCTAATATTGTTTCATTGTAATCAAGTCCAAATAATCACATGTGGCTAGTGGCCTCTATATTGGAAGCGTAGTAAGGGTGAGATATTTTGTTTCATAGGGTCTTGTCAGTCTGACAGCAAACAACCTTGACCTTGATTTTCTACTATTTAGAAGCATAGGGGAATGGAGGGATCCTGATTGTCATGGCCTATCATCTCTGGTAAAATATCAGTGGATTTAGAACTTCTATCTTAATCAGATCAAGGGGCTTTTGCCCTGGTCTTATTTATTTCTCTCACTGTTCTGAGTGTCCCTGTGGGCATACAACAGTATCTAGCCTTTTCTCTGTCTGCTTGAAGATTGAAAACATCTAATTCCAGTTCAATGTTTTTGCCTTGGAAACTAACCTTCTCTCCTGGCTGCCACATTTTTCAGAACAAATATAAAGCTGAAATTCTGAAAAAACTGGAGCATCAGAGATTGATAGAGGCAGAAAGGAAGCGGATTGCTCAGATGCGCCAGCAGCAGCTAGAATCTGAGCAGTTTCTGTTTTTCGAAGATCAACTCAAGAAGCAAGAATTAGCCCGAGGTCAGATGCGAAGTCAGGAAACCTCGAGGCTGTCGGAGCAGATTGATGGGAGTGCTTTGTCCTGCTTTTCCACACACCAGAACAATTCCTTGCTGAATGTATTTGCAGATCAAGATCAACCTAATAAAAGTGATGCAACCAATTACGCTAGCCACTCTCCTCCTATAAACAGGGCCTTAACGCCAGCTGCTACTCTAAGTGCTGTTCAGAGTAAGTGATGAAATGCACCCCTGTGGGACATTGAGGCTCATCGGATAGAACCATATTTCTATAGCATCGGGAAGGGTCCTCCTCATTTCATTAATTGTAGTAGGACCCCTACAGAATATGGTGTGAATAACAGAAGTAACTTTCAATACTCTCTGACTTTTACTATATATAACCTTAAAATTCAGAAAATATGCTTTGCCCCCAATAGAGCAGAGACTCTATAATAAATGGGAAGTATTTTATCATTGAACAGAGATTTTAAATGAGAAAAAATTTTAAGTATTTTTGTCTTCTGTGTATTTTAACTAAGAAATACATCTTAAAGGTAAACACTTACACTAGAGAGAAAAGATGTTGAGAAAATTGTTTATCCAGACCATTGCTCAGCAATAAAGTGTTTAGACTCAGTATGTTTAGTATCCTCCTTGGACTGAGAGAATCTCATACACATAGATAATTAACCTCCAAATAGACTGTGTGTTTCTGTGTATTTCTACTCAGTACTGCCAGATCAGTGCTGGCAAGTTTCCAAAATACAGACTTCTTCCTCGCAGACACTGTCAGATGAAATTTGTGTTTCCATTTATTTGAAATGAGTTATAACTCATTTCAAATCACTTGTTATAGGCAATCACTTTAAAACTGCTTTACTGCTAATTGTTTCCCAAAACGTTGTGCTTTTACTTACTGTTCACCAACTTTCTTAAAGATATATGTAACATGGTAAACAGAATATTTGTCCTATGTCTTACAGGATATAAAATGCATTCTATGCAGCCTATGCATTTAACCTTATATTTGCTTCATGCCTAAAGATAACATAACATGTAAATAGTTGACCCAGGGTACAAACATGTAAAAGGGCTTGTACCTTCTCACTTTGCTTATAAAATAATTTATATACACAATGTAATTTTACTTCTAGTTAATGTTTACTTCTAAGAGTTTTAAAATAAAATGTGGAAAGTGGAACACCTGATAATTTTACTTTTGAAATTTATGTCCACCTGCAACTGCTTGCCAAAAGCAATTTTGAAAGATGGAACATACAGTTTGTTTTTTAGCCTTTTCTTCCTTTTTTATTTCTTAGATTTAGTGGTTGAAGGACTGCGATGTGTAGTTTTGCCGAAAGATCTTTGCCACAAATTTCTGCAGCTGGCAGAATCTAATACAGTGAGAGGAATAGAAACCTGTGGAATACTCTGTGGAAAACTGGTATGATCTTTATATATGTATATATATATCTGCACAGGATACTTTTAATAGTACTAGCTTTCTTCCCACAAATGGAACAGAATAAAAACATGCTGAGAGTAAACAATATTATGAAATTACTTTATACAGATTAATTTTATAAAGCTACTGTCATTATTGATGGAATAACCCTACTATAAAGTAGATGGTAAAATTTAAGAGACACTATAAAAACTTGTCCTGGGCCGGGCACGGTGGCTCAAGCCTGTAATCCCAGCACTTTGGGAGGCCGAGGTGGGTGGATCACAAGGTCAAGAGATCGAGACCATCCTGGTCAACATGGTGAAACCCCATCTCTACTAAAAAAAAATACAAAAAATTAGCTGGGCATGGTGGCACGTGCCTGTAATCCCAGCTACTCAGGAGGCTGAGGCAGGAGAATTGCCTGAACCCAGGAGGCGGAGGTTGCGGTGAGCCGAGATCGCGCCATTGCACTCCAGCCTGGGTAACAAGAGCAAAACTCCGTCTTAAAAAAAAACTTGTCCTGAAGAATCAATTAAACTATAAATTAAATCTTTGATTAGAAAAATAGTATGGAATACAGGTCTTCAGATTTTCAAATCCGTCTGATTTACCAAATCAAATTTTCATTGCAATTGTTAGTTTCATATACATTCATATAATTAACTTTATCTGTGGCACGTGTCACCTTGCTATCCTTTTTCAGATATACATGGAATAAAACTAGGGTTTTGTTGTTTTCTTTAGTTTAAGGCAGTATCTTCAACAACATAAAGTCTATTAGCATAGGACATATTTAATTATGGAAGATGTCATCGTAAGTATGTGATGAAAGACAATGTCATAAAAGAAGGATATGAAAGAGAGGAGATGCATTCAATTTCCTATCTACAACAAAGATACATAATGTTTCTTTAGACGTGTCCTTTCATAGTCTGTTCTGAGTACCAATTTCTATATCTGGGTCTGGGTATATTTTCAGTCCTCAAAATTTAGCTTAGGAACCTCTGCTTTATTGAATAATACGTTTTATTCAGTACACAATCTCCTGCTGCATTCCAGTGTTTTGTCATCATTTTCCCCGAAAGAGAGAGTAAGCCATTGGCGGCAAGCACAGGAGAATGGGCATCTACAGTCACCTCTGTTGCACATAAGGGAACAGTGTGCTGTTGAAGCATCCACCCCCACATCATGTGTTGTATTCAGATTGATTGATTCATTCATGTATGATTCATTCACTCTGCTGGCAGACAAACACTGAATGTCTAAATGTGCCAGGTACTGTGCTGGGTGTTGTCATTTGGTGCCCTGCAACAGCCACAGTCCCTTCCTCATGATGCTTACCATGCTGTGAAGACCCAGACAGAGGACTAATTATAAGTAGGGCTGAGTGCTGTCTGTGCAAGTGCAGGGCATCACGGGATTGTATAACTGGGAAATCTAACTTTGTCTGAGGGGTCCAGAAGGGTTTCCCTGAGAAGTGATATTTGAGCTAGGCCTAAAGAATACATAAAGGAGGAGGTTGGATGGAGGGAAGAGTTGAAATCAGGGTGAAGGAACAGTGCATTGTGTATGGCAAAGCCCTAAGGCCAGAGAGAGTTTGGTGCTGTGTAAGGGAGAAAGGCCAGTCTGCCTGGGGGAAGGAAGACAGCCTCTCATTGCACAAACATCTCTCCGTGAGGGTCCCAGGGCACTTCACAACCCTCCTCCTCTCAACTCTTACCTTTTGCCTAAAGGGGTAATTTGTTTTTTCCTTTCTCTTTATCTGATTGCAAATCCAAAATATTATCTTAATTACAGAAGATCCCAGTGAGTCCTCCCAATATTCAAAGAATGTCTTAAGGCTTAAAGTGACATTAAATATAATTAGTAAAACAAAAACAAAACCATCAACTTTCACAACCCTAAGAAATGCCCTTTGAGAACACCACAAAATTATTTAGCTAGTATCTCTCCCCTCCGAATAAACCTGCCCTTGTTTTGTTCTAGTTTTTCCATTATAAGATACATCAAGAAATCATTTATTAACTAAACTTCCACAGACCAGCCTGGAAAGGGAATTCTTATTTATGTTATGTTTTCTATTGTGAAAGTGAGTTTCAAGCTACAGACAGCTGACTCTCAAACTTTCGGCAAAGAATCCGTTTTTACTGTTGGGACTTTGTTTTTGAATTGGGAAGGAGTGTGTGTCCAGATACAGGGAGGGATGACGTAAGTGGTCCATGTACCTGGACACAACCCGCTACTGGGGAACTCTCTAGTCTTAAACATTGCACTTCCTGTTCACTTATTATAATTTTCTTTGTCAGATGCATGTCATTCTTTCTGCTACTTGTTTTTTAGACACATAATGAATTTACTATTACCCACGTAATTGTGCCAAAGCAGTCTGCGGGACCAGACTATTGTGACGTGGAGAATGTGGAGGAATTATTCAATGTTCAGGATCAGCATGATCTCCTCACTCTAGGATGGATCCATGTATGTTTGACCTCTTGGGTTTCAGTTTATTTTTGTATGGCGTGCTGTTTTCCTCCTTGAAAAAGTTCAGCTTCATTTAAATAGCTTCTTCTTTTTAATATTTTCAAATGTAATAAAGGTTGTCATTTAAGTAGTGGTTCTCAAGCAAAGAGAAAAGAATAGCAGATATTAGAAAAAAATAAAGGTCAGCATATTATAGCATGTTTTTCAGTGTTAGACTGTATCTAAATCTGTCAAATCTGGATTTGGAGAAGTATATCTTATGCTTTTTTGTATCATCCAAAGTTATATAGAGAAAGAAAGAGTAACATTTGGAAATCAGGTATTTTTGTTTTTTGTTTTTTGTTTTTTTTTTTTTAGATGATTTTATATAGCCTAGTGAAGGCTTAGCCAGATTGTTAACCAATTTGATTAGACAACTATGGATGTGGGTCTAAATTAGATTATTTTGAAAATGTTTCTTTTAAACATGTATTTGTATATGTTGGTTACACTCCCTGAACCCCCTCTGATAGGCAAAGGATGTATGGATCACTGTATAAACAGCTATAGAATAAAGCAAGAGGATAGGGTTCAAAACACTGAATTCCAACCTCCACCAGGCTGTCATGGGAGCAGTAAATGGCTTGCAAATCAAATAGACATGATGTTAAATCTCGACTCTGCTAAGAATTCTCTGTAGGAGCATTGGCAAGTTATTAAGCAATCTGAACATCAGTTTTATCCATAAAGTAGAGATCATAATAATTGACTTCACAGAATGTTTCATATTAAATGAGATACTATTGGTGAATTTTATAGCACATATTTTGAGGGACTCTGAAAATTGTACCTGTTATAATTGGTGATAGTAGTGTATCCTTTCTAGCCATAGTTCAATCCATCTGGGGAAAATTTTTTCCATTCAGTCTCACATAGCTGGGATCTAGGATAATGTCTTAGTGTGTTTTTGCTGTTATAATAAAATGCCTGATAAAGGTAATTTGGAAAGGACAGAAATTTGTTATGTCTGGTTCTGGATTCTGGAAAGTCCAAGATCAAGGCACCAGCATTGGTGTCTAGTGAGGGCTGCTCTTAGATTCCACAAGCAGCCATCAGTAGACACCAACGGCACCTTGTTGCTGTATCCTCACAAGGTGGAAGTCAGAAGGGAAAGAGAGCACGTCTCAACCTTGAGCCCTTTCACAAGCCCCTTAATACCATGCATTAGGGTGGAATACTCATGACTTAATCACCTCCCAAAGCCCACACTTCTTAATATTGTTGCATTGAGGATTAAGTTTCATCATGAATACTGGTGGAGACCCCACCATTCAAACCATAGGAGGTAGGGTTAAGTCATTCCACTGAGCTGGGATACCTGCCAAGGAAATTTCCAGAACACATTCTGGGTACCTCCAAGTACCCTTGAGGAATGATACATAGTCATTTTATATTTTACTTGCTTTATAGAGAAGCACTCCTCAGTGCTACACACACACACACACACACACACACACACACACACACACACGCTAAGCCTTTGGTGTTATGCAATTCCCGAGGGTATATGAGACTTTAGTCCCAACACCACCTGTAAATTACTATGTGCTATCAGTCAGGACTTCTAGCCTCATTTCCAGATTCCTTCCTTGACTGAGTGAAGCTAATGAATGCCTTCTCTCCTCACTGAATTTCTGTGAACAGGAAATAAGATACCACGTGTGAAAACTCTTTGAAAAGTATAAACTGCCTCTCAAATGCAAGGAATTATTTATGATGAAGAGTTTGCAAAACTCTTCATATGTCTATTTGCTTTACTTAACAGTAAGTAATATGCATTACGGTTTGCCTGGACATTGCTATGTTATTTAGCTTAACATGATTTCTGTAACAAGAATGCATTTTAAAGCAAAACAAATTCTAGCAAGAATGACATTAAATTATGCATTTACATTGACAAGTCAATGTTAGTTTATCTAACAAAACATTTCCCAAACTAGAAACAAAAGTTTTCCCCTATGACCTTCTATGGATATAATGCATGCAATTATGAAGGTAAGTTATTTAATAAGTTTAGCATAATTCTGGAATTCTAAGACTTCTTGTTAAACTTATTTCGCTGAATCAAATTATTGTAGTTGGATGAAAATACAAAAATGTGACATTTCTAAACCTCAGTGATTGTAATGACTTTTTATAATGGTTTTTATTGAGCATAATAACAAATTCCAGAGCTGACTTTTTCAAAAACAAATTAGTCATAGGAAAAAATGTCTGAGACATAATCAGACAGACCTGTATTTGAATTTAGACTTTTTGGTTTAACTAGCTTTATGAACATCAGCAGGTAAGTCACTTTTCTGCTTACCTCAGTTTCCTCATGTGCAAAATTTAGATAACAATAGCACTTAATCTGGTTGCTGTGAGAATTCAATGATATGACTCATGGAAAGTTAATTCACATTATTCAGTTGCAATAAATGGCATCTGCTTCCACTGTTACCATCATCATCATCATTTTCATTTCCATAGAGTGAGGGTATGGGAGCATCATTCTCTCATAGGAAAACTGTCCTCATTGGAATAGACATAATTCCTTTTGGCAGAAATGAAGGACTCAGGTCATGTGGTGTGCATTCCGTGTGGAAATAAATTGACCAGCAGAGTGATTTGTCTGTTTGATAACCTACTTGCTCTCTACACAGCACTATAGTTTCTTTGAATAATTTTAAATTTCTCACCAAGGCATAGAAGGCTCTATTTTACAAAGAGAATGTATTCCTTGTAAGATAACAGGCTGTCAGATACTCCCACTCATACCCCTACTGAAGATTTGCATTTTAAAAATTAAAATAATTTCCATTCCTTTGTTGATATAAGTTGTTATAGACAAAGTGTTATTTTTTTCCTTGCAGAATATATATCTTTCTATAAATAATCAGCTGATTTTGCATTCATTCTATTAAAGCAGAAAAAAGGTTTTCTTGCCTCTTTTTTTTTTTTTTTCTTTTCAAGACAGGGTCTTGTTCTGTTGTCCAGGCTGAAGTGCAGTAGAGTGATCACAACTCACTGCAACCTTGACCTCCCTGGCTCAAGTGCTCCTCTTATCTCAGCCCCCTCAAGTAGGTGAGACTACAGGCACTTGCCACCATCCCTGGCTAATTATTATTATTATTTTTTTTTGTAGAGATGGAGTCTACCTATATTGTCCAGCCTGGTCTTCAACTCTTGGGCTTAACTTATCCTCTTGCCTTGGCCTCCCAAAGTGTTAGGATTATAGGCATGAGCCACTATGCCTGGCCTAAAAATAGTTTTAAAATCTTACATTCCTTTAATAGAATATAGTTTTGTGTAAAGGCATTTAGCTACTACGATGGATCTATGCCTTTTAGTTAATAAAGATAACATTGAAATAACAACAGCAATAACAACAGCTAATGACTTTGATTCCTATGGGCTAAGCACTGTTCCAAAAATTTTAATGGACTGTCTCATTTGATCTTCATAACAATCCCACGAAAAAAATATTATCTCAATTTTACAGATGATGAATGGGCAAGAGAAGGTTAAGAAATCTTTGCAGTGTCATTTAGCTAGTGAGTAATGGAGTCAGGACCTAGACAGTGGTGCCAAGAATCTTTGTTGAATGATTAAAATAGTCCCATTCTTTTTTACCAAGAGGAATTAGGCTTTAAGATGAATTTTTAAAATAACTATGTGTGCATTTATTTTTTATGTTCAAATATGAACCTCTGATTGGCCATGCGTAAACACGTTTGTATGTAGCCAGAAACTTGGCAGATTTCTTCTAATTTATAATCCCCTTTTCTTTCTCCTCATGTGAGTATTTTGTTGCTCTGCAGGATTAGTCCCAAATACCTTCGACAACTTGGAGTCTCCCATTCTCCCATTTACAGGAAATAGCAATCCACAAAAGGATACACAGCAACATGTGGTCTATTTAGTGAAAACCTTCTTTTAATGTCCATAGTGTTGTATATAAGCATGTTGTGTCCAGGGTTTCCAGTCACAGCTCTGCTCCTTACCAGCTGTGTGACTGCAGGCATGTTAGGTAACCTCCCTTAGTTTGGGATCCTTGTATGTAAAATTGATATAATAAAATAAGTGTCTCATAAAGAAGTTGTGATAATTATATGAGAATCTATTTAAAGCCTCTGGCAAATTAATTTCCAGCTCTTTTTTTCCCAAAAGGAAGAAAGTACACTAACACTTCTAGGAGCCTCTTCTCAACGTCATAGTTATTACAAACAGCAAATAATAGGAATGCATAAAGGAAAGGATTATGTCAGCAAAACCTTTTTTAAGATCCTTATTTGATTAATGATGGTAAAAAAAATTAAAAAGCAGATAAATGGAGTTTTCTTTCAAAATAGGTTGTGGCCTTGGCTAAGACTCAGTTATCCTAATAAGATTGTCTTCTTTTCTATTTATAGACACATCCCACCCAAACTGCATTCTTATCCAGCGTTGATCTTCACACTCACTGTTCCTATCAACTCATGTTGCCAGAGGCCATTGCCATTGTTTGCTCCCCAAAGCATAAAGAGTAAGTGTAACTCTTCAGGGGAGCCCAAAGAAGACTTTGTCCAGGACTGCTGGGTTCCTGTGTGTCCAGACACTGGGTTCTGGTACTTGGATTAGCAAGCACACAATGCCCTTGGGAAAAAGAGATGGGTGGCGGTCAGCTGCATAGACCTTCAACTCTGCAGTTAAAGGTCCTTTCGGTGGCAAAATTTCTGGTTTTCGTTCTTCAGTTAGTGTGACCTTGAAGTGAAAAACGTTTAGGAAGGATGCTATCCCAGTCAGCCTTCTGAGGTCTTATTTCTACTGTATCATGTTCTGCCATAAGAAACTTTCTAGCCTTAACTGAGAAAAAACCTTTCTACTTTTGGGAGACAATGATTATTGTAGAGTGGTTATGAGCATAGGAATCAAACAAACATATTGGAATCCTGGCTCCACCCCTCAAGTGGTGTGTTAGGCTGGATACTTGACCACTGTGGGCCTCAGCCTCTTTGTCCCTGCTACCTGCCCATGAGGGATGGATGTGCAGATGAAATTCGTTAATAGTCTATGTGCAGTGCTTAGCATAGTGCCTGGTACCACAGCAGGCACTCAATAAATATTTGCTATTGCTAGAATCTGTATTAACATTATTAGAAGAATTAGAAATATCTGCCACTTGCAATTTCCTTCCATGGGACTCTCTGTTGGGGCCTTGGCCTTTCCTCTAGGGTCACACACAATAGCTTAGCTGCCTTGTCCCCTGCACGGTCCTGCAGTCTCTTAGGAGCAGCATTGCGTCCTCCTGGGTTTCTCTCCTCTGAGCCAATCATTTTTTTTTTTTAAATCACTCTGGAATTCCTAGTTTGTGATTTCTCAATCCCATTTGAGGAATATGTATGCATGTGCTATTCAAATGAAGTATCTGGAATGCCCAAATGATCCTTAATTTTTCTACTTTTTCACTCTGAAATTTAGCACTGGCATCTTCAGGCTCACCAATGCTGGCATGCTTGAGGTTTCTGCTTGTAAAAAAAAGGGCTTTCATCCACACACCAAGGAGCCCCGGCTGTTCAGTGTGAGTACATCGTATTAGTTATTTTTGCAGATATTTATTGTTCACTACCCCCCAACCTTTTTTTAAGGAGAGAAATAGTAGCAGTCTAATATAAGTTAAAACACTATACTGCTTAGTTTGGAGTTTTATCTCAGAGATTAATCTATTTGTATACTTAATTTCTGATTTATTCTCAAAATAATTGTTTTTACAAAAAAAATCAGTATTTCTGTAACAGAATTAATGATGCACAAACTTACCTTTCTACTTATATATATATATATGATATTTAAACATTTTCTTCAGAATCCAAATAAGTAAACAATTATTACAGAAGATGATATTTAAAATGTTGCATGAATTCTTTCTGTTTGATATGGCCAAATTAGTTTTTTCATAGCAATTGGATGAAAACTACAATCATACTTCTTGATTACCTTTGCATAGTCCAAAAGAAACATATGACTACACCTTTTTTTTTTTTTCTAATTTTCTTGGTGATTCTGTGGAACATCAAGAGAACATTATACTGAAGTTAGAACTTACCTAAAATGAAATTGTTTGGCAACCGCTATAAATATTTTTGTTGTTGTTGAAAATGAATAAATGTGATTGTATTTGTTCTGATTGGAAATATTTTAAAAATCAGGAACAATTTAAAATTAGGAAATCTGTACTCCCTCCCTAAAGAAAATCATATGGTAAACATTAATGGTAAACATTATGATAAAATTAAACCTATGGTAAAACCAATTTTTTCTTTCCTAGATATGCAAACATGTGTTGGTAAAAGACATAAAAATAACTGTGTTGGATCTGAGGTGATATGTTCTGAATATAAGCACCATCAACATCAGATACCTACCCATGGACAAGTGGTTGCCGGATTTTCTTAAGATGTTTCCAGAAAAGACTCATATTTTATATTTATATATTTTAGATTAGAAAGCTTGATATTTATTATTGTTGCACATTTTGAAGTTTTTTTTTTTTTGGTTGCTCCGTGTCAAGAGAGGTTAAATGGTGTTAAATCATTAATGTACCCAAATACCATGACCAGGTAATAAATTGTGCTGCGAACAACATGTCTGGTATTTACAGAGGTCTCTGTATACATTTTTAGAGCTTTGGGTGTTTTTCTGTATTTTTTATTCATATAAAGCATAATTCCAAATAAGAAATACTGAGTGTATGTAGTCTCTAAGGCAGGCCATCTGTTTCTGAAACCTTCCCCTGAGGTATGTGAGCAGTTTCTATGTGTAGATGAAATATGGCTGCCATTGATAAAGCTTGTTCTGTGTTTTCAGTGTCATGAAATCCCAGGCTCAGAGAGATATCTCTGCAGTAAATCATTGTGTAAGACACCAGAACCACAGGTTTCTACTCAGGGATGAGGTGTCAGAGGGCCTGGGATAGCATACAATTCATTAATTTGATTTAGAAGACTAAAAGTAGAGAAGCTTGAGAGAGGAATTTCTTTTTAAAAAGGCTCAGATAAAAGTATAAAGCCTTTTACTGTAAAAATGAACAGGGGTGATAAGAGGAAACGAGACATAAGAAATAACTGATAATTCTTAGTCAAAAGAATAAATAAGAAAATAATTTGGAAAGTTTTGCCATTAAAGGTATCTATATAAAAATTAATACACAGAGATGAGAATTAAATAAGTTTGAAACTGAATAGGGTGACATAAATATAATGTTTGACTAAGGCTTAGAATGGCATTTGTGGCTATTACCTAGATAATAAAAGCATTTACCCAGATAAAAGGAGACAGATTAAATAGAAAGAATGGGAAACTTGGGTACTCTGTTAGCAAGTTGAATTGGTAGGAAAAACTTGAGGATGAAAAGTATGGAGAAATTTTAGCTGCAGATACACAGAGGGCAAAATGGAAGTGATATTGTAGAGTTCTTTGAGAACAGGTAAATATCCTTCAGGACACTGAAGACTAGTACTGCAGGTGAAATCTTCATCTTGGGAAATCCTGGGTGGGCGGCCCTTTCCTTGATGAAGAAACTTGTGGTCACTTCTTAGTCTCCTTTCTCATCCTTTAGGGCCTTACCTTACTCTAGTCTAGCTTTCTCCTTTTTTGGTTTCAACATTTACAGCCATCTCTCACTCAACATTTACAGCCTTATCCAGCCATCTCTCCCTGGATCTCCAGGACTTTTCAACAGGGCCAAGCTAATTCTATGTAACCTTCTGTCTTCCCAATGTCTTCTGTTCTGGCCACAGCTCTCCTCCCCTTTGCTTTCCTTCTGACATTGTATCTGAGTTGCTTAGCAACTCATGTTTGCATGTACTAGCTCCCACTGCTTAGTTCAATGATTTCCATATTCCAAAGAATGGTATTTCTTGTACTCTGTGCTTGGATGGGTTAACATCTGAAATAGTATGGTCGTGTCCCCACCCAAATCTCATCTTAAATTGTAGTAGGAGGGACATGGCGGGAGGTAATTGAAGCATTGGGTGGTTACCTCCATGCTGTTCTCATAATAGTGAGTGAGTTCTCAGGTATCTAATGGTTTTACAAGGGGCTTTTCCCCTTTTGCTCAGCACTTCTTCCTGCCATTATGTGAAGAAGGACATGTGTTTGCTTCCCTTTCTGCCATGATTGTAAGTTTCCTGAAGCCTCCCCAGCAATGCAGGACTGTGAGTCAATTAAGCCTCTTTCCTTTAGAAATTACCCAGTCTTGGGCTGGGTGTGGTGGCTTACGCCTGTATTCCCAGCACTTTGGGAGGCCGAGGTGGGTGGATCACGAGGTCAAGAGATCAAGGCCATCCTGGCCAACATGGTGAAACCCCATCTCTACTAAAAATATATATATATAAATTAGCTGGGCATTGTGCACACTTGTAGTCCCAGCTACTCAGGAGGCTGAGACAGAAGAATTGCTTGATCCTGGGAGGCGGAAGTTGCAGTGAGCCAAGATCATGCCACTGCACTCCAGTCTGGCACCCGGCAACAGAGTGAGACTCTGTCTCAAAAAAAAAAAAAAATTACCCAGTCTCAGAAAGTGCTTTATAGCAGCATGAAAATGGAATAATACAACATCCCTCCCTGCCAGTCTAGTCCTCAATTCTGGTATCACGTCACCTGAATTCTGTTCCTGTTCTTATTTATACAGAACCACTTACTAAGAGCAGGTCAGTGGCTTGTTTCTGTTTTATGGCATCTCCTAGCTGTGGAGAGCTTAGGTTTTAGACTTCAGCAGTAGAGCTTGGCTTCCCTTGTACATAGACTTTAGTCTATGGCCACCACTAGCTAAGGGCAGATTAACTCTGCAAGGCTGGCTCTAAAGATGGCTCACTCTTTCTTGAGTGGTGCTGTCCTCAGTGTCTTAGCACTTAAACACACCATGGTATTTCGATATTATTGATGAAAGGAAAAGATTATATACTTTGTTTAAGTAAAAATAATTGTTGGAGCCATGGCTGGTTGAGAAATGAGTGAGATCCTCTGTATAGAATTAAAAATATAGTAATACACTAAGAGGATGTAAAATGAGAGCTGTCTAGTGAAAAAACTATGGACATTGAATGGTGCCTAGAGATAGGAAGGATTCAATCGAGAGCCAAGAACATTTAGCATGTTAGATTTCCAGAAAGACTAAAAAGAGAAGCTGTAAGTATGCAAAACCAATTATATTCCTCCTGAATAGCAAATTAGAAGAGAACCCATTTTTCACTAAAAAGGTATATTGTATTTCCTAAATAAGGGCAACATTCTTGGTGCTTTTATTTCCTTGGAAAGAGAGGCAAAACTTTGGGCCTGAGGTAAAGTTTGAAAGGTTATTTTTGAAGGGCATGCAGTTCTTCATTTTGCCAAGTACAAACAAAATTAACCAGACTTACCAGAAGGATCTCACAGAGTGGAACTGTTGGAGGCAGCAAACCAGGAACCTGACTTTGACTGTCAGAAAGAGGCCTTGGGGTGTGTCTAAAAGAAGAACCAACAGAAATGTGACCACATCACTGAGGAATGGACTGGCCATGAGGCAGAGACCATGTTAGCCAACCTGAAGACACCAGTACATACACATGTGCATGAGCACCAGTGTTCATGAGATAAACTCTCTGTGGAAGATCTCTTTCACAACAGGCAGACAGCACTTTCCCTTTTTTTGAGATAAGGTTGCCCAGGCTGGAGTATAGTGGCATGGTCATGGCTAACTGCAGCCTTGACCTCCCAGGCTCAAGTGATCCTCTCACCTCAGCCTCCCAAGTAGCTGAGACTACAGGCACCCACCACTGCACATGACTAATATTTTTTTCTATTTTGTAGAAATGGGATCTTGCTGTGTTGCTAGGGCAGGAGATCCTTCTTTTGGATGTGAATCAGTTCCAAAGCTCCATTTGCCACATCCTAAGGCAAAAATGATTCTTGATTTCGTTTCAGATTTGTGTTTCTGTAGAGAAAATGAACCAGTTAAGAAATTGCTTTGATTTTCAATGCTAGTCTGTTTGCACACAGTGCCAGACACCTCTTATGTATTTGTTATAGACTGAATTGTGTCCCTCACATTCATGCGTTGAGGTCCTTAACCCCCTAGTACCTCAGAACATGACTGAATTTAGAGATAGGGTCTTTAAATAGATAATTAAATTAAAATGAGTCTAGTAGAGTGGGCACTAATGCGGTATGACCTGTGTCCTTATAATTAGAAATTAGGACAGATATACACAGAGGAAGACAATGGGAAAACACAGAGAGAAGACTGCTATCTACAAGCCAAGGAGAGAGATCTCAGAAGAAACCAACACTGTCAACACCTAGATCTCAGACTTCTAGCCTCCGGAACTGTGAGAAAATAAATTTCTGTTGTTTAAGCCATCCTGTCTGTGGTATGGCAGCCCTCACAAACTAATGTAATACCCAATAAATATTTACTGAAGTTGTTTTTTTTTTTTTTTGGACTGAATTGGAAATGGCTTTCTTTGTTGTCATGCAGGGCAGAAATCATTCTTTCCATAAACCCTGTCAGTTGTAGAAGAGCAAAGTAGAATGTTTGTGGATTCTTTTCAGCTACTCATTGTTCCGGATGTCTTTTTAGTAGGATTTTGCTTGTGGAAATTTGACATTTTATTTGAGGCCACATTGATTCACTTCTGTTTTCTCCCAATTCATTTCACATTGCAACGACATCAACTGTGCCAGAGACTGTGTTATTACAATGATTTGACCTTAGATTGAGGTTTCTGTTGCAAAACCAGCTGAAGAGGTCCTAAATGTGGAAAGCAGATGTTTTCTTTTCTGGCACGTCTTGCAGAATTATCTGGCTAGAGAAGTGTCTTCTGTGAATAGAATGCTTGAGAAATGCCATGCAGTTAGCAATGATTAAGGAAAAAAAAATAAATCTTCAACTCCTTGTTCTTAAAAGAATTTGGCTTGTTATTTATTGGGAAGACAACTAAGATGCAAAGAACTTTTCTGCTCCTTTAAGAAATTTGTTTTCTACTTTTTTGATTCTTTATAAGGCCAGAGTATATTTTCCTTGGGGACAGTTGACAAAAACATGACTTAGTGGCTTTTAGAGAGTTAGCATACTGATGTCCAAGAAGACATTGTTGTTGTTTTTAAAACTATCAAAAGGCAGGTTTTCATCTGGCCTGCTGTAACAAAAATACTGTAAACTGGGTGGCTTAAACAACACTGTATTTCTGTCTCCCAGTTCTGGTGGCTGGAAATGTGATATCTGGGTGCCAGCATAGTCCGGTTCTTGATGAGGACTCCTTTCCTGATTTGCAGATGGCTGCCTTCTTGCCCTACCCTCAAATGAGGGAGAGAGAAGTCGTCTCTCTCATGTCTCTGCTTATAAGGACACAAATCCTATCATGAGGGCCTTACCTTACCTTCACGCCCTAATTATCTCCCAGTGACCCCACCTCCAAATACCATCACAACGAGGATGAGGTTTCAGCGTATTAATAGTGCCAACATTCAGTCCATAAGTAGGTGAATGCCAACAAGCTAGTTTCTTGTCTGTTTTCAGTGCCATATGGAGGTTCTGTTGTACATCTTCTGAGATCCCATAGTTATTGTATTAAAAAGTACCATTCCAATGAGAATATGAATAGC